ATGGATGATATTTTATTTTGTGTTGCTTCGTTGGGAAAATCAGTTCGTATTCATTTTAGTAGGTGTGCTGATTTGAAAAACATCTATTATTATTCTATTGGAACAAATTCAATTGTAATTAGTTGGAAAATAATCTCATTATGACAAATATGTTGGCAATTTGTTGGGAAATTCTATTGGTTGGGAATAAATTTGTTGGTAATCCGTTACAAATATTTTGTTGGTAATCTGTTGGGAACAAATCAGTTGCTAAACAATACGTTCCGTTGGTAATTCGTTGGGAAAATTGTACTTCGTTGGTAATCTGTTGGTAAACAATATGTTAGTAATCCATTAAGAAAATTGTCGTTGGTAATTTGTTGGGAAAATTCGTTGATAATCTGTTGGGAAGCTATCTGTTGGTATTCTATTGGTAAAATATTCGTTAGTAATCTGTTGGAAAGATATTCATTGCTAATTTGTTGAGAAAATTCCGTTGGTAATCCGTTGAAAAATTTTGTTGGTAATCAGTTGAGAATATATATGTTTGTATTCAGTTGGTAAAATATCCGTTAGTAATTTGTTGGGAGTATATTCGTTGGTAATTCGTTGGGGAAAAATATGTTGGTAATCTGTTGGGAAATCTCCGTTGGTAATCTATTGGGATAATTACGTTGGTAATCTGTTGGGAAATAATCCGTTGGTAATTCGTTAGGAAAAAATATCTGTTGATAATCCGTTGGTAAAAAATCTGTTGGTAATCCGTTTGCGATTATTTCTGTTGGTAATCCGTTTGTAAATTATGTTGGCTTTCTGTTAGTAATTTACCAACGGAATGATTTAGCAACTACGTTTTCTGTTGGCAATTCCTTGACAATCTCATGGAGTGATTCTGTTGAAAATTCGTTGGTAATCCGTTGAGAAATTTACCAACGGATTGTATATTCCGTTGGCAATAATTACCAACAAGCCATATAGCAACACAAAAATCTGTTGGTAATCCGTTGGCATTCTGTTGGGAAATTTATTTACCAACAGATTTTTCCGTTAGTAAAACTCATATTTCTTGTAGTGGTGAGGCGTAAAAAGCACAATATCTTGTCACTATCTCAAAAACGTCAATTTTAATTACACCTATTAAAATGGTCACTATATTTATGTCCTTAGAAAACTTTTTTGTTGTAGTGATAGTACCATGACTCATACAAAGTTACTTGTTCGATTATGATAATCTAAATTGGAAAAGTTTTTGTCTTATCACAGTTCATTTCGATCTATCGATGAATTCAGTGCAATAATCAAAGTATTTTATCGTTACATCAACATACAACCGTGTATAATAAGTTGTAGCCTGACATAATGGTTTGGGGCATGAAACCCACTTTGTTATGAGTTATGATTGAATTTTAGAATAGAAAAGGTTATCTTCAAAAGTTGTAGCACATATTTTTTTTTTTT